ATTCGTGTTAATATCATCATATAGTGAGACGGCAGAAGCTGAAAACACTGCGAGCGTCATCCGCGCTTTAGTATGCGTGTAGTAAACAAAACAGTGCGCCGCGCCATCCGCCATTCATTCATTGCCTTATGCGCGATATCAAATGCTTTCTGCAGATTTATAGTATTACTATATACGAATCACGCGTATGGCCATGATAAGCGCTGAATGAATGCCAGGCTTTCTGTTGTAACATCGCGCAAGGTAAATAAGGGTGACATCTAGTGGAGAAGACTAATGATAAGATTCACGTTAATCAGATCTTGTTTTAAATGTGTGCTGAAATAAATCCCGGAAAAGATCTATTCGTGGCTTTTGAGAATCGATATCGATATCGAATCGACGTCATTTAAAAAAACTATTAATCTAAATGTTTTTATTTTTTTTGCCCAGCCCTAGTACCATCAGAATGATTTTAAAACTGATATGTTAAGGTAAATAATAATAATATTAATAATAATAATAAATGGAATTTACTAGGGAATGTTCGGCAAACCGGAATTATTCGGCTGAAAATAGCAACAAAAAAAAAAAATCTTTCGGTGTTCGGCCAAATAAGCGAAAAGGCCAATAAATTGTACTGAACAATGACATGACGCGATCAAATAGAGCTGAGCACTAATGCAGCAAACATGTCAACAGTGTGGAAGCATTTAAAATTGTCCGTGAAAGACGCAAAAATCATTACAAGCACCGAGAGCGAGAGACTGCTTAGCACTGTATCGCATGTCTCCGATGAGAAGAGGAAGGGTGGTTGTTGCTGGTTACTGTAATTGCGAAATGGCCTTAAACAATTAGTAAATAAACTGCAGAACGTTATGCTTTCTAATACATGCACGGATTGCATGTATTCAAACAACACTGCACGAGCTCAGTAAAGAAGAAAAGTAAGACAATAATAATGATAATAATAATTACAACAGCTCTATTAATACATGTATTATAACACTCACACATAGTGTTCAAATTGGGATCTGTAATATTTTCTAATGTTTTAAAAGAAGTCTCTTCTGCTCAGCAAGGCTGCATTTATTTGTACAGTAAAAATACATAACTGATTCAAGAAGGGGGTCTCAAAATGGCCCAAAAATATTATTTTACTAACTTATTAATTTTAAGTTAAATTGTGCTTTGTTGGTATAACGTCTGCTAGAATGTTAAAAAATGTTCAGTGTTAAATATTTTTAAACTTGTTTTGTAATTGAGATTTTTCTTTGAAAAGCTAGACAAAACGGTAAAAAGCACATTTTGGCTATTTAATTTATGCAATGGTGAAAAAATTGGCAAAATATATGAGGGAAAAAATGCAAAAAAACGTGTTCGGTATTCGGCCTTCGGCCCAGTGTTTCATTTTGTTCGGCTTCGGCCAAGAATTTTCATTTCGGTGCATCCCTAGAATTTACATTTAGTTGCCTTAAAGATTTTAATTTGTGACTTCAAAACTGTATTAACGTTAGATGAGAATAATTTTAAAACTGGTATTTCAAGATAAATAATAATAATAATAATCAGAATTTACATATAGTTGTCAAATATTTTAATTTGTGACTTAAAAATGTATTTAAAAAGTCATTGTAATTAAAGAAACCTTTAAAATTAACTGGAAATCAAAGGAATCAATAAAATCCTTGAAATTCACATTACTTTTTATTACCTTTCAAACATTTTATTAATCCCCATTACCTTTAAATCAATTATTTTAAATGAATAATTCCATGACTTCAAAATTAATCAAATTAATTCAGAATGAAAAAAATCTTTAATCGTCCATTCCAATGACTTCTCAAAGAATTCATGAATTTGCATGATTTTAACAGAACCAGTGTCTGGTTACTGAGAATACAGCAACAATGTACTCCAGACTCTCTTCACTAATGCTTAACATCATTCAACACCTGCAAGTCTGCTGAATGTTTTATATATTGCCTCATAACAACGTGTCCTAAAGTTAATACACGACCCAGGCAGACACCCAGCAAGTTACTGCAGGAGTTCTAACGAAAATGTGCTCTTTACAACTGCAACATAAGACGTCATTCCTGAAGGTCAGTCATTTTTTGCCAACGGCTTTTTAACAGATTGAAAGCCTTTAAATTGAATGAGTCTGATCACCTGCAACTGGGCATCACTCATTTTATAGGATGGAAAGTTAATGCATCTTTGTGTCTGGATCAGTACTATAGATCATTGCAATGGCCCCTGCCTGGAAAGTGTGAGACTGAGAGAAAATGTGTGTGTGCGCGCGTGTGTGTGTGTGTGTGTGTGTACAGGTGTAGAGTCGGAAATAGAGCTGAGAAAGTAGAGATGACAGAGAGAGAGTGAGAGCAGAGTTGTGTTGACGTGTAGGAGTGAAGGAAAAGTTGGTGAGTGTGCGAGTCGGAGGCTAAACAATGACAGATGAAGACTTTGCGAGTGAGTGAATGCATGTGTGATTGAGTTAATAGCCTGAGGCTGAGAGCTTAAGTGAGACTTGGAGTGCAAGTGAAAGAATCAATGAGACAGTGAGAGAGTGTGTGCGGGAAAGGTTGAGCCAAAACCGGCCAAACTTACTTAAATTAGCAGATTGGAACAAATTAATTACATGCTATGGAAAGGAGGTGTGGATGAGTGTATAATACATGTTCCTCAGGGACAAGTGTGTTTACATCTTACCATTCCTCAGGTTTATTCTTCTCAGTTCCTACTGATCCAGGTTTCACCGGTGTAACTGAGGCAGGGGAGGCAGAATTCATCCATGAAGCTGTGGCAGTACATATCCTGCAGAACAAAAAATGCCACAAATAATTTATACTGTACCATCCTTAGAGTAAAAGACGGCAATTTTAGAAATACTGTCAGAGAGTGGAAAAAGATGCAGCTCATGTAGGATTGTAGTGATACATTTACTAAAATTCCACAAACTGCATAATTTTATGCTTATATGCTACTTTTTGAAGAAGTAAATCATCCATTTGTGAACATCAACCACATAAATACTAGGGATGTAACGATTAACCGCGAGCCGGTTGAAAATCAATTCAGATATGTGACGATTCAAATCGGTCGAGATGTTAAACAAATCGTGATTCATTTAGGTGTAGGAGTTTATATGAATGTATGTCTGAGGGGAACTTACTGTCTTTAGAAAAGTTTAGATGGTATTTTTTCTTTTCATCTTGCCTCTGTATAATGCATATTAAAGTTCATAAGTGCAGCGTTGCTATGATTACAGCAGAAACCAAAGAAACGCTTTAAGCGCTACCTGCTGGCAGAGAGTGAATCTGTGTCTCGTTCAGCTTTGCTGTTTCATGCAGATATTTTTATTTATAGTTTCATAAAACTAAAGTCAAACCATTCTGTTTTTGCTTCAAATTTCGAAATTATACAATGTAATTTAGATTAAAAACTGCTCATGTTGCATGT